ATTCGAATTCATACTAACAATTAATATTTAGATGCTTATACGTAGAATTGACTTCTACCACATTTTTATTTAGAAATTGTTCAGCTATTAGATAAGCAATTAGTAAATTTGCCTTGGATAGGTCTTGTGTCATTAGCCAGGTTGAACACCATGTGATTATTTCGTCAAGATCCGACTGAAGGAGTTAACTGTCGGTGTTAGTAGAAACGTTGCGATAAATGACGCAGTCATCAGCGAATAATCGAACTCGGAAAGAGACGGAGGTGGGTTAGTAATTAATATAGATAAGAAAAAAGTAAGAGGCCAAGCACGCTGTCCTAAGGAACTCCAGACGTCACTTGAACAGAGGAAGAGTGAGAATTATTAGCGGAAGTGAACTAAAGTTTAGCTGAATGGAAAGTATTTATCCATGCGAGAACATGAGGGTGGATATTAAGTTGAGCAAGTTTTAGACGAAGTCTGTAAAGTAGCATAAGCCTGGATGACATGACCTACAGATGAGTGTAAGTCCCGAATACATCCGGCAAGGTGAGTGTCACACAAGTAGCCCCTGAGAATACCATGCGGCTGTTTAAAGACAATGTTATGGTCCTCTAGGTAGTCCATGAATTGAGAACAAGTGGCGTTTTCCAAAAGCTTACATATGGTGCTGGTTCGTGAGATGGGTCGATAGTTTAATGTGGATGAGCAATAACGAGATTTAAAGATGGGCATTACTTTAGCTATAGGTCAGGCTTGCCGGATTAAACAAGTTGATAATTATTTTGAAAAACAAAAGGCGGTTGCAATCCCAGAGATACTTCTAGATGTATGTTTAAGTGTCTTGTTATTGAAACCAATGTGATCGGAAAATAAAATCGATTTTAAGTACATTTATTTAAAAAAGTACTAGCTTCTTTAGCGACTATCTCGTGCATAAATACTGTCAGACAATGTGTTGAAACTTGGAGCAGAAGTAATTTCCTCACATGTAAATACAGATGTGAATAAATCATGAAGGAGAACAGAGCACTCTGGCTTGGGGGCCATAATGTCAGTAGTATTGGTGAGACTTAATTCATAATGATTACTTGGTTTGACTAGACGCCAGAATCTAAGAGTGATGTTGAGTAGCATAATTGATGAATCATGGCGGTAGACGTGCCCATGAGTGGATTTAAGAAGCTATTGGTAGCTTTCGTCACAATTTTTGTGTATCGGAGTCATGATTTTGATAGCTTTTTCTTGTCAGCACGCCTAGAGTCGTTTTCCTTTCTTTTATTTTAAGGCGCCGAAGTTTTGTGTTAAACCTAAGATCACTGTTATTGTATTTTAAGGCTATAAAAAAATAAAGTTAATTAAATTAGTCAGATTATTATTAAACACATTACAGTTTTCTTGAAGTCAGCGTGGCAAGTATTAATCAAAAATCGTGCGGAAAAAAAGGTAAAATTCAGAGTTAAGGCCATCAAAATTCGCTCTGCTGTTAAAACTTACATTCTTACAAGTGAACCTTTTCTGAAATTATTATTATCAAGGAACTTAATTTTCCATTTCGATACTTAAGTGGAGTTAACGAGGAAAAAAATCAGTGAGAACAGCCTGACGGAGTCCCTTGCTCCCTTCTAGTGGCATATACGGAAGTCAAATTAAAGCAACAGCGAACAACACAGAGAGAACCGACATAACAAAGTAAAATACAAATATCAATCAGGTCTCATAAATTGATTCATTCGTTTTCGCCCCACATTAGTTCAGTTTTTAATTCCTGAATTGCAATAGAAGTAATATCAATGTTATTTTAATCAGGGTGTTCAATATAGTAGGAAGTGTTTGAGTGATTGCATTGAATAGTTGTTATGACACAGTGGCACAGTCCAGTGTTCCGCCGACCGAGTTGGGTAGGTAGTTGCATGTTCTTTTAGCTCCGCAAGGTTTACTAAACTACCCCAATTTCTTTTAGTTTCTAACTTGAAACTGATCACGAGTCTATACTTGTACATGTAAACAGGAAGTATGGTATATTTTTTATGAAGAGTCCCTGGGTGCTAGAGTCGTAAGAAGCATTCTCAATGAGACGTACATATTTTTTTGCAGTATGAGTATTTTTGGAGATTTGTGCGGTTGGTGGTGCACTAAACTAGATAACAATAATTCAGGTGAGAAAGGAATAATGCCTGGCATAAAAGGAACTTAACATTTCTCAAAGGTCATTGGACGAGCGACTAGTCCAATGACCTTTGACAATCTAGCGCCTGATTCATTTACATAATTATCCCAATATAAGTACTGACTGAAAATTACACCTAAACTCTTAAAATTATCTACAATATATGTATACTTTGCATTCAGGACAAGGGTCTTGGTTGTAGAAGCAGTTTGTTTTTAGGCCGGAAGACGATTGCATTCGTTTCCCTCGCATTGATGTTTAGCGCTTGATTGAAATGCAATTAAATGGGCAATCAGACCCTTAAATTGCAAGCCTCACCCTTGTTGATGTTAGACTGGTGGCAGGTGATAACACCCGTTTGTTCTACTGACGTCTAACCCCTGGTTTCCTCAGTTGGTAGAGCGCTCCACCTTTATTGGAGAGGTCCCGGGTTTGATACCCGGACCAAGCGGATTTTTTCGTCGCGCACCAGTCACCTAGCTGTGTTTGGAGGTTGGCGTTTGTTCCTTGTCCCTCTTGTTTCCCTTCTCCAGGGATTATTTTCGTCATTGATGTTTAGCGCGTTATCTGAGGACCATTTTTGCAACGCTGTTAGAGTCACGCTCGCGCAGCTGATAAGCTCGTCACCAGTTTCGCCAGAAAAATATTTTCGTGTAATTCGCGTATTTTACAAATTTAGTCAGTGGATTTATGTTTACAATATCATTAATCTCTATATTAAGCAGTAACGGCCCCAACATGCTTCCTTGTGGTACACCCGATATAATTGTCTTTGTTGAAGACGCGAAATCTTTAAGATGAACAAACTGTTTACGATGACCTAAATGTGAATTAAGCAAGAAAAGTGCTTGACCTCGAATTCCGTAAATATGGAGCTTTTCTAGAAGTAAAATGTGATTTATATAATCAAACGCCTTTGGTAAAATCTACAGGAATGCCATTGGCCAATTTCTTTCTTTCAAAACTTCGTAAAATAAATATTTTTTGTTCAAGCAATGCAAGTTTCATTGATCGATTTTTTCGAAAGCCGAACTGAGCATTAGTAACTATTTCGTGGTTATCCAAACACTGAGATACTTGAATATGTATGATTTTTTCTATGCCCTTTGAGAATACCAGAAGGACGAAGATAGGTGTATAATTGCTTATGTCGTCCTTATCTCCCTTTTTGTACAGCACAGACACTTCCGCTGTTTTGTATGAGTTGCGGAAATACACCGATTGAAAGACACAGGTTGAAAATATGAGTAATGCAGGGTAAAACATACTTGACTGGTATAATCTGCATATCATCCGCATTACAACTATGACTACACATTTTTGAAAACCGGAGACGACGGACGAAGAAGGGGACAACACACAAAACGTCTCAAACGCAGCTACTAAATTTTATTTGAACAGTCGTTTATATAGCATCTCTCCCACACGTCTTCCGGAACTTCCCACGTCACAGCAACTTTTAGCCAGGGTACATCTCGTCTTGACCCCTTTTTTTTTTCTCTCTCTCTTTCTCTCTTTTATCACCTCAGTTAGTTTGTACAAAGCATTGCAATACAAGCACCATCATCACACCCGCTAAAGTCGGACCCAAGGAACCCAAGGTTCCTTGGGTCCGACTTTAGCGGGTGTGATGATGGTGCTTGTATTGCAATGCTTTGTACAAACTAAGTGAGGTGGTTCCTTGGGTCCGACTTTAGCGGGTGTGATGATGGTGCTTGTATTGCAATGCTTTGTACAAACTAAGTGAGGTGGTTCCTTGGGTCCGACTTTAGCGGGTGTGATGATGGTGCTTGTATTGCAATGCTTTGTACAAACTAAGTGAGGTGGTTCCTTGGGTCCGACTTTAGCGGGTGTGATGATGGTGCTTGTATTGCAATGCTTTGTACAAACTAAGTGAGGTGGTTCCTTGGGTCCGACTTTAGCGGGTGTGATGATGGTGCTTGTATTGCAATGCTTTGTACAAACTAAGTGAGGTGGTTCCTTGGGTCCGACTTTAGCGGGTGTGATGATGGTGCTTGTATTGCAATGCTTTGTACAAACTAAGTGAGGTGGTTCCTTGGGTCCGACTTTAGCGGGTGTGATGATGGTGCTTGTATTGCAATGCTTTGTACAAACTAAGTGAGGTGATAAAAGAGAGAAAGAGAGAAAAAAAAAAAAAGGGGTCAAGACGAGATGTACCCTGGCTAAAAGTTGCTGTGACGTGGGAAGTTCCGGAAGACGTGTGGGAGAGATGCTATATAAACGACTGTTCAAATAAAATTTAGTAGCTGCGTTTGAAACGTTTTGTGTGTTGTCCCCTTCTTCGTCCGTCGTCTCCGGTTTTCAAAAATGTGTAACATCAACCAGCTCGCCTGCCTACTTACTTTATCTTCACACAACTATGACTGTTATTTAATTTCATAAAAACCGTAAACACTTCCGCGTCAGTGAGTGGATGTAAAAAAATAGAGTCGCTATTTCTAAATGTGAAATTTTTTTACATGCGTCGCCGCTTATAGCTACGTTGGGGTAAATTTATAAAATACTCATTAAATACGTCTGCTAGAGGTATGCCAGTTAACTTGACGCCGGCAGAAGAAATGCTTTTTATGTCATTGGAGCGCTTACCACGCCCGACAATCGCATTTTAAATTTTGCACATAAGGTCACTGCGGCCTACTCAAGATCTAAAAGATTCATGATGGTAACGCTTCCTGGCCTTTTTCAAGTCCTTTGTTATTTGACTACAATAATTTTTAAATGTATTGAGGTCATTGGGATCTCTTGTCTTATTTGTTATTGTCCAGAGCGAAGCAATCACCGCGGGTGGATAATTTATTTAGAAACTACAATGTATAAATACACAACTTACATTATAGGCTACTCGTAATCCAACGTAGTCAGGAAAGTGCACCGGACACCATGCTTCGAATATAAACTGTAAGTAAACATGAAAAGTATTATCTTGACACTTCTGCAAACCAACTTTGACAGCAATGTCAATATTATATCGCATTCAAGGTTATCGTTTTGCACCGTTTTTCGCTGAAGTTTGTGGCTGGGTTTGACAAAGCTTACGCACTAGCGGCCACTAATCTGATTAACTTATCATCTGTTATAAAATAAAATCTTCCCTGAAACTTACTTCTATAGCGGTTTAATAATTTTGTGAATTTATATCGTTCTCGGTAACAAAATGTTTAGCTTCTATAGTATGAGCTACGTGGGCACGCGCGCTGGTTCGTTCGGTATTCTTATCGGGGTACAAACATTGAATAAGATAAAGCCATAAAATAGTGTCATAGTTTACATGGTCTGCGGCAGTATGCCACTAGATGTCACCAGCATGAAGGATATTTTAAAGTTGTAATCACTAGTGGAACGCCGAAAAATGTTCGGGTTAAAAGCTTTATATGGTGTAAACATATATAGCAATTGCCTTCGAATGAGTCGAGCAATGTTTTCTCAGGAATCTTTTTATATATCAGGGAGGGCAGACCACCAAAACAAAATCTGACCCGAATTCTTTTGCCGTACCGATATTTTGTTTCCGAAAACAATAGAAGAATGGAATAGGATGGGTATTGAAGGATGTGTTTGACGTTTATACAAGTTTGTTTGTGTTTCGATGTTTTTGATAGAAATCAATGTGTTATGTACTCTCCCCCGCCATAATGCCGAACGGCGATGCTGGTTCCTATGTAAATAAATAAGATCCCTGGAAGCGTTTGCCGTCTCGCCTTTCGGAAAGGGAACGTTCCCTCTGTGAGGTACACTATCTTAGCATACAGCCGGGCGTCATAGTTTATTATGTAAAGCAATATATATATATATATATATATATATATATATATATATATATATATATATATATAAGAACTGCGGCTGAATAACAGCATCCTTATAAATAAATTTAGAAGTGTACTATAGATATGGTCGGAATTAAATTCAATTAGTCGGGCCCTTTTGAAACCTATCTCACTCAAAGTGTATCAAATTAAAATATTATGTTATATTGTATGCAACTTTCTAATATATTTTGTTTTGTTATTTTACCTCGTCCGCTAGGTCGCTCTCCGAGAGACCCAGGTCATTCGGATCTAGAATCCCATTCTGAAGACATCTGGAATTTCTCAAAAAATGTGTTCTTGTATAGTTGGACCAGAGCTTTGAAATTTCCCTCTTTGGTTGGTTGTTAAATTTATCTTTCTGTCGATCTTCGGTTGGATACTGGTCCGGCAACTCATTCTGGTTATAGTAGGTACTTCCATAATCATATTCGATTTGTTTAATCTTTGGGCGCTTGTAATCTAAATCTCCATCCTGATATGATGGCGCATGGTCCTTATTTGGGTTCCAACTAGGAGTCGTGAATCGGTCTTGAGTTTCCACCGGCGATGAGGTATGTTCCCACTCTTCGTCCTTGTCATCCAAAAGGCGGAGAGCTGTAATAAAAATGTATGCGCGTTAAATAGTGCGCGACTCGCAATAGCTAGTTTCAGTTTAGCGTACTGTGAAAATTGGTGTTCTGCTGGCCTGTGCTGAATCCGTGATTCAAAGCTTCGGCACGAGCTCCCGCTAGAAACGGAGCAATGGCATATTGCTACACTAATTTTTTTATTAGAACAACCAGATAATCTTTAAAACATGCGCTGATTAATTATCGTTGACTAAATTGGCTCAAAACAAAAACAATATTTCTGACTAGAAATCACGAACCGCTTGTGTTCCCTTACATAAGGGGCAACAGTATTTTTCTCGCGATCTGGGTGTTTTTGTTGATCAACTCCTGAATTTTAATTATCATGTTCTAATTAACGGCAGTGCCTCACTTACGCGTGAAGACAGACACTAAAAGAAGCATAGTGAGATAGATTTAGAAGTGGGATTTGTCAAAAAACGACATTGAAAACGTTTGTGTGTGCATTTAGTTAGAAATCCTTCATCTGGTTGAGTAGAAAACATTTTTGGCTTTGAGTTTTTGCGTCATCTTTGGGAAAATACGTTGTTTGGCTTTCCGTAAGCTACTACGCCGCAGAGAAGCGACTGGCGTCCACTTTAATTTTTTATCTTTTTGCCCAATATCTCTCCTTTGTAAGAAAAAAAGAAAAAAAAATTGCAAACTACTATTGTATGTTGGCAAAATTACGTTGTCCAGCTCTGTCCGATCTCACTTGGATTTCTCGCCTCTTTAGGACGTCGAATTACCAATCGCAACGGCCAGTCATTCGCGACGGAGCCAAGGAACGAAGTCGGCGCTACGGAGGCAACTGACAACGACGAGACTGTTTTGATTCCAGGGGGCTTCACTCCTTTCCCCGTTATACTGGTTGTAGAGTTCGAGTAATTATCTTTCGCTAAGTTAACTCAAAACCAAAACAATGTCTGTGACTAGAAATTGCCATCCGCTGGTATTCACTTGCACAATGAACAACGGTATCTTTGCTCGCGATCTTGGTATTTTTGTACATCCACCTTGAATTTTAACTATCTGCGGCGCCTCCCTTAGAAATGTAGGGGCGATATTACGTTACATAGGACAATTTTCTTTCCCTGCTTGCCTTCTGTTGATTCGCCACTTTTGTTGCACACTGTTTGTTACAACTGGAGACAGCGTACTAACAACAAAGACGAGGAAGGTGTAGATGGGTCCAGTCTGCATCTTCCTAGTTTTTTTGTTATTTGTGCGCTGTTTACAGTTGTATCAGGAACCAACTTGCCTGCATAGCCAGCTTAATCCACTGTGTATTTTCATGCTCTCTTGCGATTCAGTCGTTCTCAGAGTTCTTTTAGCCACCATTGGTTTATATGACACATCACCACTAACGAGAATGCGATGGAAATTCAAGAGACATCATCTACCTATTGTAGACGTTTTTAAATTAGCTGAATACTTTACGACAAAATCTAGGATCATTGTTTAGTTTGTCATTTAAAATTGTGCTTGCTGTATTCATTATTATCATTAACTGCGTACCATTATTTAGGCCATATGCTGTTTGGGGACACATCAAATAAGGATTATTATTAAAGTGTGACGATAATTTACAAATAGTCAACGCTGGACGTGCATTTCTTTAAGCCCGGTAGCGAAATTCGTAGCCCCTACATTTCTTTGTTTGTTTGTTTTTTTAGAAAATTTAAGGCCTTCAAATGCTCAAGCAGGCAAGGTAGGGTCAAACTTTGCCGTCTTTGGCCAGGGTTTTGGTGCCTTGGCACAAATTCGCCAAACAAGTACCGTAGTTAGGCTTTACTGCTGTTAGTTGACCTTTGATCTGGCATCGGTTTGCCTAAATCGCCAAACAAGTACCGTGGTTAAACTTTATTCCTGGTGTCTGGGCCTTCAACGCAAAATAAGTGCCAGATACATGCTTCACTGTTAGTTCTGTTTATACGTGGCACTTTTGGCTCAACTCTGGTACTTTGGCAATTAAGTGGCGAGCGAGAAACAATCCACAGAAGTGTCAACAGAAAGTACTCTGGCACAAGCGCCTTTGAGCAAAACCGTATTATGCTTAGGATAGCCGCCTAGGATATCCAAGTGTATGTCAAGTGGGAAAGCGCCAAACAAACACAGGTACAACGAGGTAGACAGACAGGGGTACACTCGCAGGTAACCTCTATTCGAAAAAGCATTCATATATATAGCCGTGGCAAAACAAAGTCATGGATAATTTTGGTGTAACCCCCGTAACAAAAAAGATGACTCATTTGCCGGTAAGGACAGTGACGTGTCACTTGTACATTTGTCGCTCTTTGCTTTGACATCAAAAGCTTCCTGCAGTTATACTCTCTGCGTACCTAGCCAGAAACCTGATTTCACTAAATATTGGGACACATGGGTAACAATGAAGTCCGTAACAAGGTATCCCGACGGGTTAGCTTCCGTGGCCACGGCATGTTCGCGCGCAAGATGAACCCTAGGAATTTAGGAGTTTCTCGGACATGCTACCTGGCAAGCCAGCCTGCCTGTCTGTGAAATATATAAACTTGTGCGATTACAAATAAAAGAATATTCATATTAGTATTTTTTTTTTTTTTTGCATTGACGTTGTATGTGGTCGCGTGCGTGGCCGAATGGCAACGCACGCGACTCGCCCGCAGAGACCCCAGGCTCGATTTCTGAGGGCCGTGCAACTTTAATTATTCTGATGTAATAATAATTTTTACAACGTCCGGGAAGCTTCTCGTTTATAATGTTCGAAGACCGAACACGCTAATGCAAATGTTCGCGAAACCCGTGCGTCTACAACAGGCACTCCGGGTGGCTTTGTGAGTTCAATTCTTCGCCAGTGCTCGATCCAGCAACTACGCTGACATTGACGCTCGCCTACGATGCGTGCTATTATTCTTATTTTGCTTTTCGGCACAATTTCACACCCATTACACGTTTATTTTTTTCCGTTTATTTTTTTTTTCTTCTTCTGGTTACCACCCGTGCCATTCTGGTAGAGGTGCGGGGTAGGAACCCTGTGTTCCTTAACCGTACCCCTCCGAGGACCCGTTTGTTAAGCCCAACTCCAAGTCGACTATTGGCAGAAAAGACAGGGCGTGTGGCGACACCATTCGGTGGTGAACTTTGTGAGGCCGTAGAAGACTGGCTCCAGTAGTGCGACCGAGTGGCCCACCAGAACGGGTGGACAGCAGATCAACGCCTTCAGAACATCTGCTCCTCGTTGGAAGGAACAGGAAGGCAATGGTAAGAAAATCATGAAGGCGCCTTGACCATGTGGGAAGTTTGTAAGAAAGAGCTGAAGAAAACATTTGGCAGTGAGCACCAACGGGAACGAGCCGAAAACCTGCTTCTAGGGAGGAACCTGGTACCCACGGAAAGCGTCACCAGTTTCGCTGAAGACGTCCTCCATGTTGTTCGCCCGCGCCGACACGCAGGCTAACGATGAAAAGAAGCTATGTGTACAGATGCAAGATATCAAGAATGACATTTTCGGTGGCCTTGTCCGCAATCCTCTCACGGCAGTGGAAGCTTCGTCTCAGAAACAACGAACATCGAAAGAGCGCTTCTCGCGGGGGCGAACTATTACCAGCGGTATACCGGCGCCACCGTGATTGCACCGTCAAATTGTAGCTTCGGTTCCAGCAGCTCTGACCTCTTTGTGATTCTTGAAATTGTCAGAGCCATTGTCCGCGGGGAACATAGGAAGCTTGTGCCGGTAGCTGATCGACCAGCTCCTTCCATGCTACCAACACACGTGCGCCCAACTTCCTTCCATGCTACGAGGGAGGCGATGGGGTGGCTTCGCGCCGCGATCACCGGGGAGCAGGACCGCGGGCGCAAAGTTGAGCTCCGATAAGAAAGCGAAACCTAGAAACGCGTCCAAATTGGCCGCTTTTTAGAACGCCGTAAATTTCTGCCCCTGCTATATGTCCTTTTAAAAAGAGTTGGTTTGGTGTTTTTTGATGACGCTCAGGAAGTTTCTAATTGGAATTATATGTCTATTTTATTAATTAGAAAGTTAATAGTTTAATAATTAGCTGACTGGTCGTTACGATGATCCCCCTATACTATGCCTCCCTGCCCGTATAACTCACCTGCGCACACTGAATAAGTGTAACTTTCACGGCTTTTTTTAAACAAATCTGTTAATTTGAAAACAAAAACAACCGGTATATATACAGGATGTTTCAGGAAGGGTAGACAAATTAGATATTGCGAAAACTACGCGTCGCAACATAAAAAGGATTGTGTTGTTTCGGTCCTGGGCCAGGGGACTATTGAGGAAAATGATTAAAGGTCCGGGATAATTAGATTGTTAATTATTTTTCCGTAATTAACTTTTTTGATATTGTATTTAAGGGCATGATTTCAATCAGAACATTGCTCAGCATTATTAAAAAACACTAAATCAACAAATTGCAGAACAATAGAAGGCACGCGAAGCATTTTAAAGCTTTCTGAAAAACTGCAAACATTCGACGGGTTTTTAAGTTTCGGTTTGCTATCGGAGCGCATCTTGGCCCCGACGGCACCGCGCCCCGTGGTGAAATAGTGCAACCAACCTCTGCTGCGCTGTCATCGCGCGATGCAGCAGGGGCTGGTTGCACTATGTCTCCACGGGGCGCGGTGCCGTCGGAGCCGAGAAGCGCTCTGATAGCAAACCGAAACTTAAAAACCCGTCGAATTTGTGCTGTTTGTCAGAAAGCAGTGGTGATGAACCGAATATGCCGAACTTCAGATTCGGCAAAGTTCAGCGAATGCCGAATTTTTGAAGGAAAGTTCGGCAAAGAATCGGTGAAAATTCGGCAAACGTCTGCGCACGCGCGAGAATGCGGCGGGGCCATGGATTGCAAATGGACGCCGTGCAGTCGTGCGGTTACCATTGTGCAGTGTAGTACAACCAGCGGTTACGGCGAGGTGTGGAGTAGACATCACGGTAACTGTGCGTTTGTGAGCGAGTCTGGTTCTCTTCAATATTTCTGCCTCAAG